TTGAAATAACAGTGTGTTCCGTATCATTTCAACATAACTTTATGAAAATATGCTAAAACATCACTACATTCACTCGATACATTGGACATAGTAAATATATCAGATTTAACATGTATTTTTCTATGAAATAGTGTCAAAAAACATATGACTTGCTAGAAATCGCCTGTTATGCCAAATGAGTGTGTACCGTTCCCCTCGGCCCAGGCTATGAAAAGAAAACTGTACTCGAATGTTCTCAAAAACCATTCAGGGGTTTTCAGAATTTTGATATACCGTGGATAACTGATATAATTACGGGTACTCTGCGCCTTATCTGATCAAAATCGGTTGAGTAATAAATAAGTTATGAATAAAAAACATACCTGAATCGGGTGAAAAATCGGCGTGTTCCGTACCCGAAAAGTCACGTGGTATGGCCACATTGTATTTATTGACAAATGTATTTCATATTTTGAAGGTAGATAACTTGCATGGTATTCTTCTTTATATTGAGGAAGGGATCAATGGGCCATGGTCACAAATGCTAAAATAGATTTTAATTTGCAGGATGAAGTTCACACAAACAGTTTATGCTTTTATCAAATTTGCTAGTCGTATGCGTGTTTTTATTTCCATTTTAACGCTAGAAGGGCAGTGGTCATTCATATTATTGTTGCAATAAATTAAAAAGATGTTATCTTTATACATCTGTTCCATTTGTTTTAGTTTTGAAAAATAAAGTTCTTAAAATTATCTTAAAATAAATACACTATTGTGCGAATGTTTGTATTTATGGTCATTTGAACTTCACTATGACGTAGTCGACATGCGCATTTTAGAACGAACATAAAAGTGGTTACAGATATCTAACCATATGTACGAGTATAATTCATGTCTTGTGTTTTTCGAAAAATGTCAGATTTAGTTTCATTGAAATATTTATCATAAAGCGTTACAGATTAAGATTTTCATTACAGCAAAGCAATGATATAAAAAGCCTAAATTCTCTGGCCAAAACAGCTAGCTGTCTTCAGCCAAACAGCAAGGCCAAATGAGCTTAATCAATTATTTGTATTCTTATTATATGGTATTTACTGAGAATCTTTCATAGTATAAAGCGACTTTGCGAGTAAAATATCACTTGCCACAATGTCAAAGCGTAAATAGTGTTTGACAAATCGTAAAATGTCCTAAATCTTGTGTACTTATTTAAACTTTGACATCTGCTTACTGTGTGTGAATTTGCGTTTATTTATACTCCCCACCGGTTGACCATATGGGCGAGTCCTCCAGAAGAGTACACGTCATTTTATATTTTGGAGGATAGTGCAATTACAGATATAGAAAGATATGCCCCGATTCCAGAAGCTTCCCCTTCTTTAACGTGCCAAGTTGTTTTAGCACCTATACACGGGACCTCGATTTAAAGTATCATCCGAAAGACTGATCAGTAATTTTAGTTGGCCAGCCCGGGAATAGAACCAACAAGGTCGATGTTACAAGTCTCGCACTCTATGCGGGCTGGCTGCTTACAAAAAAATCCGGTGCATATAATCGTAACATTCGCTCATATCTAGCACCCGACTGCGGATCGAATACTACATGATCAAGGAGTACTACATGATATGAGCCGTGTCACGACATAACCAACATAATGGGTTTGCGACCAGCATGAATCCAGACCAGCCTGCGCATTCGCGCAGTCTGACCAGGCTCTCAGTTTGACAATGCGGATGCGCAGTCTGGTCTGGATCCATGCTGGTCGCAAACCCATTATGTTGGTTTTGTCGTGACACGGCTCATATTTTTTTTTTTTTTTTTTGATTTTCGTATTGACCGTGTTTTTTTTCACGTATTTGCCGTTTCTGTTAAAATAAAAAATTGCCTTGATATTCAATCAATATTTCACGTTTGAAGTGAATATTTGTGATGTTTCCTTTTTGAAAATATAAAAAGGGAGACATTTTAGAAAAAGTAGCTTTCAGGGTCATCTGTCCTTCAGAAATGCATTAGTACTTTCATATATTTTAAGTTTAAAGTGAATTTGTTTGAAATTAGCCGTAACCAAAAGGTAAATCGGGGCGAAAACATCGTAGAAAAATAAAGGGAATAACTTTGCAAAAATATAACTAGGATTATCCGCCCTTTTGATATTGCATCATATGATCATAGTAAACTAAACCACGTTTAAAGTAAATTCGGTTGTTTCTGAACAAATAAATGAAATTACTTAAACCAAATTCTGAGAGTGACAAAACCATAATACCTTTAATCTGTTGTCAATCAGGGTTACAAACGAAAATGTTGAACGAGAGAAAAAATACTTATCTATTGAGAATTAAGTATCAATTATCCTTTCTAGCCTAAAGATTACATTATATAGTAGCTTAAAACCTCGATATTTATGTTCGCTTAAGAAACCAAGTAAGACAAAGATTATTTTTGTGTAATGGCAATTACAATAAAAATAATTATGAGAATGTTAAAAAGTAATATAATTCTACTTTAAACATGATTTAAACATGTATTTACATCTTGCGACATTTAACGGTAGTGTTGCGACATTTAACGGTAAGGGAAATTCGTGCGACATTTAACGTTAACATTGCGACATTTAACGGCAAATGATTTTGCGACATTTAGCGGCGGTTGCGACATTTAGCGTCAATGGTGCGACATTTAGCGGCAAGTGCGACATTTAGCGGTGTTGCGACATATAACGGCGCCACACTGATATAATCACAAACCTATTTTAAAAATACATATTTCAAAATTATTGTAGTACTCCTCGAGAAAAAGCATAAAACGATAATATTTCAAGATTGTCGGCAAGAAATCTCGATAACTTCTGTATCCCCGCCCTTAACATGGCATTAAATGAACCTCCCTTTTTATTACAAGCAATATTTTAAACAAAGAATAATAACAGGGCTGCCGAATCTTTATCAAAAACATTAGGAAAATGCTTTAAAGTTTTGTAGTGAGACACAAGTGAAGCACAGCGGTGTGCACTTACAAGTATGATTGACGCATATCTACGTTGCTAGAACTGTCGTAAATTTACAATAAATACTTTATTAATATTTTATTACTTTCATAGTATGTAAAGATATTCTTTCTTCAGTTTTTCAGTTTCGTTTTTCTTTTACATCTGATTGTCTTATTGCATTTAAGTCGGCTTCATCATGTCTCTTTTCACATTATTTCATTATAAACGAATTCGCACAGTACCTCTAAGTCATCAGGCGTTTTGCTTATTTTTTGTTGTTTGTTTGGAAAGCAGCTAAATTACGTGACAGTTTGAAATTGGAACACATGACTTTCGACAAGAAAAGTCTATATTTCTTTTTCTGTATGTCTTTGTTGCTACACAACCGGTTTAGACAAGATGAAGTGCGGATTATCTGTAACTCATTGTAGAAACCTCTCACCGGATATTTAAACATAAAAATCTGTTTGATGGTTTATAGGATTATATGTGTTTAGTTACATTAATACGGTATGGAAAGTGCTCCTTTTCTAGTATATACTAAATTGAATTGAATGCTATTACGTGGGCAACTCTAAACCTCTTAAAATGGTCACATATATTTGTTGAGAAAACAATTTACTGTCAAATCTTCAAAAAACAACTTCTGCCATTTCCTAACGTGTTTTACATTGGCATCTACATAATTCGTATTTTCTAAATAAGCAACGCAACACTGTGCTTTAATGGCATATCCATGTTACGTCAAAAGGGCTGGAAATAATCCGGTACCGCGTATTTTCATAACGATTCTTTATCTTTAAGTTAACATAAACCTAAATTTTAACACGAATTGTATTTTAGATAATTTTACTCTTGCAAAAAATAATGTAAATAAATGTCAGTACGAAATACAATAATCAATGGACTGCTTAGATTTATTTTGATATTTTTAAAGCACATCACAACTTTAACATAGCGGTAGTCACGTTTTTTAAGCAAAGGCAAAGATCATTTGACATAGGAACAAATATTACACATATATTGTCATAGCTTAGTATGAAATTTCCCGTGATATAATTGTAATTTATTTCTTAATTTGAGACCTGATAAATTTAGGAATTGTTCATTGATGCATAAAAACCTCACACAAACACAAACAAACAAACAAACAAACATACAAACAAACAAACAAGAAAAACGACGACAACTAAAAGAATAAGAGGAAGAAACAGACATCAGCCGATGAAAACTTTATACTGTTAAGACCCCAGCTGTATAAAATGTTTTATTTTTCTCTTCTGAAGACGATGTTAATTCAAGTTATACATATATTTTGTCTCTTAGAGAGATTACTAAACATTAATCAATAATGCGTCTTAGTAAAGTAGTGCAGATATATACATATAGAATGTGCCTTTTCTCATGAAGAAGAAAAAGCTATAAAATGCCTTCAATACACAATGTCTGTCTGTCAATCTAACCTTATGTGGCTGAGTATAATTTAAGAAGAGAAAATACCAGTACAAGATGTCCTTACTTTATCTCCATAATTCATGTATCACATATTTTGGTAACATTTACATTTATATGACATGTAACATTTACTGTAAAAGATAAACTTGGATGTTCCCTCCATCAAATACAGGCTTGGCAGTCAAACCGTCAGCCTTCCGTTCCGTAACCACCAAGCTGGAGAGCATACTCACATGAAATAATTGACAGTCCCTGGTGAGATTAAAACCCGCAGCGGTGAGGGGCAATTGATTTGAGGGCATAGACCCCTGCATACATCATGAGCTCTGAGCAATGATATACTTCATTAGCTTCAATGACTCTTGTACTTAAGTAAGTCTTGCATCGAGGGTCCTTTATGATAATGTGACATACAATAATTAAAAAGAAATTTTAAGAACAAGATTATCAGTAGATCAGTGTGTCATAAACTGTCTTATTTGATACCTATATTACAAACATCTGCACCAACACCGCACCATCTAATCACATTAAGTGATACCCTACCATTTTGTACCACAGATGTAGGGTTCCTTACCTTGCTAGCTCCTATTTGTGGTTTATTTTCTTCTGATTCCCATTCTGCTGTAGCATCTTCCTGAATCTCCTCAATATACACATCTACGTTTTCAATTGGTTCTGCAAGAAATACATTGCTGATCCATATGAATCATGTATTTTAAGATATTGAACTAAATCACGAACCTCGAGCCATGCTATTTTGACATTGTTCGAAGAGAAAAAAACCAGCTAATGTTATATTGTCTCTCACCCTTGTCTTAAATGTTTTACGTATATGTTAAAGCAATCTTCTAAAAGTAATAATGTATATTAGCATGAAACGCTTGCTGTGCTGAATCTCTTTCTAAAATTTCTATCTAATCATTAATTGTTGACATCTTGTGACCATTCATTCTTTTGTTTTTATTTGGAACTGTATATATTAAAATTTTGATACAAAACAGAACTATGAAAATAAACAGTTTTGAATAAACCAGCTTGTTGTCGTCTATATAAGATCTTATACACTTTCATGAGGCTATAAGTGTATGAGAAATAAACGTTAAATAATGTGGTCAGTTTACCTTTACCGTTGTTTTCTGTGTTTGGTGAAGCAGGGAGAACGATGGTTTTTGGTGTGTTTGTTTCATTTTTCAAATGTATTCCGTCACCTGTAACTATAATTCCTATTCTTTTCGTTGTTGTTCCTTCCGGTACAGATAGAGTGCTCTTTCCTGTTCCTTCTGTCTCGTCTGGTAATATTACAGATGTAATGTTTTTATCAGTTTCATCTATCACACTTCCTTCACCGCTTCCCTCTACACTCCCTGTCAAACCTTGATCGGTATTTACAACTTCTTCAATTGTTTCGCCAGAACCTTCATAAATTACGTTAACTCGTTCAGGAGCGGGAGTTGTATCTCGATTGTTCTGTAATCTTACACCGTTACTATCAGGTAGATCTAGACTTTTTACTGCTTGATCACCTTGATAATGTAAACAATCTGCTAGAAAAGTTTCAGTCACCTTATCAACATCAGTCACTGTTGAACATGACTCACATACAGTGTCTCTATGCCTCGTACATGGTTTAAGGATAAATTCACCATCATCACATTTAGAACACATTGAACATTTTTTGAGGAAATTTTGCCCGCTGGAAAATGTACCTATTGAGCAAGGTTTACATACGGTGTCATGGTTCTGCGTACAGTCTCTAGAAACGTAATATCCCGGCTTGCAAGTGCGGCAATCTTTGGCAGTTATTATAGAAGTAAGTGTGATAACCTGAAATTATAAAATTTGAAAGAAAACAATTATACACTATATAACGCAATTTTCCTATAAAGTTAAGAACAAGTGAATGCAAGTTTTATTATTTAAAAGGATAAAAGCATTGAGTTGAAATTTAACAGTTCAGATAAAAGTAATTTAACTATCAAGGTAAAAAAAACCAATGAGTTCTAATGTTACTTTTCATATTTAAACAGTCGAACTTATTATTTAGATATAAATAATAAGTGCACTTTTTTCTGTTTGGATAACAACATTGAGGGGAACGTTTCATCTTTTATTATTTTTGTCTTCATACAAATGCCGAGGCATTCAGAGTTTTATATATTTAACGATCAACATTTTATTTTCTTTTATTTATAATTTGTTTACACAACAACAACAACAACAACAACAACAACAAGATAAGTCTATGTAATTTGAGCCGTTTGATAAAGCAAAATACTAGAACACTGGCGTAAAGAGGGTATATCAAATTGTTTAAAACATGACAGAATATTTATAATCAACACCGTAGTAAAATAATTGGGAACCTTCTGTAAACCATCGAGATATAATGAACATCTTCAGAATTCCTTAATAAGACACGTGAGAAAGAAATAAAGATATTGAAGTAATAAGAAGCCGGAATATCAGTGACCCATCACGTACACTAGCCATATCAAAGGTCCATCACTTGTCCGCTCTGGTCAATTTACAACATGATTAACTTTTCCTATTAAAACACGTAAATATCGTTCACGCCTGTCAAATTGACAGGTTGGGAATCTACGTTATCTCTATAGCTTGGGAATAATCTCTCTATTTTGATGTATATTTTCTATACACTTTCATTATCAGGCGATATTATCACGTGGTTTCTCCCAGACATGACCACTTCCCGAAATGTATGAGCCCCTTCAATGCATTCCTGGAATACTGTTGAAAGATATCTTGAAATTGATAATTCTTTCTTCTTGTTTTTTTCTTCTTTTGTGTGTTTTGGTTATCGTTGAAACATCCCCATCCCACCTTCCCCCCCCCCCACACACACACACTCAACTCCAAGAAGGTTTCTGACAAAGACGTATAATTTGACATTTTTATTACTGTACATGCAGTAAAGTTTTGTTATAAAATCATCTATATAACTCATTTTGTGCAATATTTTTTTTATTTCTAGACATTTATTCGCTGGATTGACAGTACTTTAATACAGATATGCTCACAGTCGCGTGCCAGAGCTGATTAATTAAATGCCAAATCTTATTACAGCATTAGATTTTGACAACTAGTTCGTTATACATGCCAAGGGAGGAATAATACATAAGACGATGACTTACAATATAATACCATATTAGTCAACATAAAATCTCAGAACTAGGCAAAATAATACGGAGTCCCAGGGGAGCTATAACAAGAAATTATACACGTCTTCGGCACGCTGTCATGCTTGCAATTTGAAATAGTCCACTCAAAGTGTAAAGGGACTCCACTGTGCCCCTTTTTTACATAACGTTTCCGAAATTAACATTCCATTTGATGTAGGTCTACACCAATAACTTGGGTACAAAATTTTATATTATTTGCTCATTCCTTTTTTTTTCAGAAAAGTTATTCTTATTATAAAAAATCCAATCAAATCAAAACAAACATAAGATTTTCAATTGATTTCTGAGTCTGATTTTAATCATCTTAAGGACTTCAGTGGAGTTCCTTTAATGGAGTTCAGTAATAAAATACAAAAAGTGAGATACCAACAATATAGAGTCTTTGTATACTACATGGTTTCCTTGGTTCTATCATAGTGACAAAAGATAATCACTAATGGTTCCAGACGCCCCTAGATACTTATTATTTGTACTTTTAGTATGCATATATTTTATATCAACATTTGCAAAACAACGCTTTGACCTTTTTCTTATAACAAGCATCAGGTGGTTAACAATACTTATGCTATAATTATCCGTTATAAGTAAGATTAATAATGTCATATCGTATATAGAATAAATATATCAAAATACAATCCTATATTTTCTTCCTCTTCCGTTTTAACGCAATAAGCTGCAATAAGCCAATGTGACATCATTCTATTACGCACTTAATTAATTAAGTACATCTCAAAGTCGACGTATTCAAATTTGGAATATATAGGTAAATGAATTCAACAAACAAATTAATATATTTTCGTAGAAATGTCGTTAGAAATTATGCCAATTAAGAAAATATTTGAAACCTTTAAAAACAGACAACGATAACAAACAGCAAAAACAAGATGTATGAAATAATATAAAAGTGTTCTCTTTAATAGTATGAAGTCACTAAGAAACTATATCTATTTTGTACTGCGAAAAAAGTATGTTGGTATCAAAATGACAGTACAAGATATTTTATTTTTGTATTTCCTAGTAAAAGTAGTTAAACCATTAAATATGACAGTGATTGCACCATCTCGAACAAAGAAACATGTATGATTTAAAAGTTTGCAAACTTATACGACAAAAGGAAATGCATCTCTAGATCGTGCAACACTGACATTTAAAAGTGATATTTGAAACAAAGAACATCAAATAATTCTCTAAATTTTCGTTGAATTGTTTGGTAGCGACTTGAAATAATTGGTGAAAAAATGATAAATGGCTAGTGAACATGCACCGGCATTGTTACATGAGAATTTTCATAGCGCGACGATTTAAGGAAATCAATTCTCAAATCTGCAATATTTTGTGTGAAGAGGGAAGGGGGTGGGGAATAACATTTTGTTACGTCACCGATAATAACTGCTGATTCAACAAAACATGCTTATTCCTTAAAACATGTACGTTCATAAATTAAGAGATCAGATTAAATCAGTAGACAAAGTTTATAAGTTATGATTATACTGTACGTGAATGTAATTGAGAAATACCAAATGGCTTGAAATAGCATAAGGTATATAAACAAAATAATGGAGGATAGCCTTGGGTGTGAACCTGTTTAATAACCATGGAATCTCCTACAACTAACAAAAACAGATGTCCTCTAAGTTTATAAAGATCAAGTAAAACAAAATGTTACTCATCAAAAATTTTGATTACCGAATTATAAACAATGAACGCTCGAAAAAAAACCTAGATCAACATTTTTTTCTTTGTGTTATTTTTTTCCGGAGAGAGGCAGGCAAAAAATTGCCATAGTTTGTACAGAATTTTTTCAAGGGGTAAATAAAATCAACCAGAAGTGGTGGGAAAGGAGAACCATATGTTCTTTTAAAATTAGCTATAATGGCCACAAGTTTTATTTATGTTTATTTATCCACGAAAGAATCTCGTCTGCAGCACCTTCTCAGTTCCAGAGTCCGTTCCAGGGGTCAAAAAGGAGGTTAAAGAAATCAAAGTAATGATTATTTATTTTATAAAGTGGCCGTAAATTTTCCAGATATCTAAGTGCATGTATTTGCCGTTTTACCATGGGTTAATAGGGGGAAGTTTCAGCTATAAATCTACAGGTTATTATCTCGGTAATTTATTCTAAGAATCGTTTGTGTGATACTGAATGTTGCAGAAAAAAAGATTTAATGGGTTATAAATAATGATTTATGTCTAATATAGCCTTTAACCTATCATGAAATGTTGTTTCTGTCTGCACTCATGTATCATTATAACTTCAATGACACACTGAGAAACTTGAAAGTACACATAAAATATATTTCACAAAATGTATCAACTAATATAGAATATATATAATCATGTAGACAAGACAGGTTTTAAATGCATCAAGTTTTTTTGTTTGCTATCTTCAATTGGACACGAACTCTGACAGCTTTGTCGAATGTTTGGAAATATCTTAATCTTTTAAGAATACTATAGCAGGGGCTGACGGAAGTAAAATATATACATTTATACTACATCAAAATTCTTGTGAGATACTTTATGAAAATGATGTAATATGGCCGCATTGAATTTTATTTGTTTCGCTGTTGTTTTACGTTCAAGAATTTCAATCATGTTAAAATCATTTTATAATGAAATTCAAAATTACTTTTTTCTCTACCACAAAGAACAAGAGTTTAATTGCATCTTTATCTTTAAAACAAAAACATGTGGCATTTAAATAAAGGTGAAACAATTAGGTCTTGTATGTTTGCATGTCATAAACGACAGTATGCTACATATCGTCATATTAAATGACACCTAATTTTATCTTACTATATTCATATACATCCTTTGAAGTAAAAGTGTTTGACAGCGGAAGAAAAATTCAAAAGTTGCTATTTGTGAAGTAATGAAATTATTTTTACAAGCAAACAAGCTTACTAATTTATACTTTTGTTCAAAATGTTTTCTTTTTCCTTTGAAGTGCCAGTGCAGTTAAGCACGATCCGTAAAAGAAACCTTATCTAAAACAGAAATTAATGAACTATTTGAAATGGCATAAATATATAAATATTTTAAGATATGTTATTTATTTTCTATGATGGTATATCTTCAAGTGTTGCCTTCTTTGAATAAAGATATCAATACTATTATTATTATTGTATTATTATTATTAAAAGAAATTAAAAGGTATTGATTATAAGCTTGAAGAACAAAGCAAATATAGTGCCTTCGGCACTTTGATAATACACATACATGCGGTCATATTAGAACTAACTAGAATTTGTAAAAAATATTTTCTCTATAATTTTATATTAAGACATACCGTTTTGAAAAAAAAAAGAAATATAAACAACTAAACAATTATAACAAACTAAATATTTATATCACAAGTTTATAAGATATTATTGTAAACTGATAAGCCTACCGAGCACAATTTTTCAAGAAAAAGAAATCTTGAATGAAATGATGTAAAAATACGACAGGAACGTGTGATAGCATCAGTACGCCGGGTAATTATGTAATAAAATCAGCAGGGTTATACGCCCAACTGGAGAGCATGTCATAAATCAAGGTGCTTGTTTCTAGCAGAAGTATTTTTGTCGAATGCAAGAGGGTGGAACTTTTGATATATATAAACTAAACAAAAAGACCTTTTAT